ACTAGACAGACCTTTGTTGGCAAAGTAATGTCTCTGCTTTTTAATATGCTATCTAGGTTGGTCATAACTTTCCTTCCAAGAAGTAAGCGTCTTTTAATTTCATGGCTGCAATCACCATCTGCAGTGATTTTGGAGCCNGAGTGCCAAAGAATTGATACTTTTGAACTGTGGTGTTGGAGCAGACTCTTGAGAGTCCCTTGGACTGCAGGGAGATCCAACCAGTCGATCCTGAAGGAGCTCAGTCCTGGGTGTTCATTGGAAGAACTGATGCTGAAGCTGAAACTCCAGTACTTTGGCCACCTCATGCAAAGAGTTGACTCATTGGAAAAGACCCTGATGCTGGGAAGGATTGGGGGCAGGAGGAGAAGGGGACAACAGAGGATGACATGGCAGGATGGCATCACCAACTTGATGGACATGGGTTTGGGTAAACTCTGGGAGTTGGTGATGGACAGGGAGGCCTGGCGTGCTGCGATTCATGGGGTCGCAGAGTCAGACATGACTGAGTGACTGAACTGAACTGAACTGAGAGTCTATACGTGCATTAATTTTCAAATTAGCAGGATCAACATGAGATGTATAGTATACTCAGAGAACCTGTTCTAATCTCCCCTTTCTTTCTTCCCCTTCTTACTGGTGGATTTGATTCATGCTTCATGAGAAATAGAAGTAAATGGACACTTTCTCATTTTCTTTTCACTGTGTCTTTGCAGCCTCTTGAATCAGGACCCACTGTCTTTCATCCTCTATCATAGGAGGAAACATCCCTGTTCCTAGATAAAGCCAACCCTTTCCTTGTGCTCTGTACCTCATCCTCTTTCACTTTCTCAAAGACTTTATTCGCACAAATAGACATCTCTTTCCTGAATTATCAGTTTACATCTTTCTAGGGGGTTGATTCCTTCAGCCAACAAACCTGCTCTTGACCTTCCATCCTGTCTAGCTGCTACCCCATTTTCCTGCTCTCTCACAGAAAAACTTCTCAAGTGAATGCCTTCCCCACTGCATCACCTATTTTCAGTCCATTTCATATAGGCCTTTGTCCTCCCCACTACATATGAAACTTCTAAAAGATTCATCAGTAACCTCCATGTTACCAAACTCAGTGGTCACATTTTGCCTTCATCTATGTAACAACTCAGTGGCATTTCTCCCAAGTGACCATGATCTCCTCAAAACTTTTCTTGGCTTCTGTGATACCCTGCGTGCATGTGTACGTGCTAAGTCATGGTATGTTTCTTCAGTCATGTTCAGCTCTTTGCCACCCTGTGGACGGTAGCCCTCCAGGCTCCTCTGTCCATGGGGTTCTCTAAGCAAGAATACTGAAATGGGTTGCATGGCCTCCTCCAGGGGATCTTCCCCGCCTAGGGATTGAACCCATGTCTCTTATGACTCCTGCATTGGCAGGCAGGTTCTTTATCACTAGCACCATGCGGGAAGCTGCTTTGTGATACCCTACTCCCCTGATTTTCCTATATCACTGCCCGGTGACTATTATAGACTGGTAACTTCAAAGTGTATATATACAAATCTAACCTTCCCCAGGATCCCAACTTCTATATCTAAATGCAATTCGGCATCTCCACTTGGATGTCTCATGAGCATCTCGTATCCGTTTGTTGTGATCACCTTTACATGTAAATAAATATACAGTTAGGATCCTTTTGCTCTTCGCTCTGCTTAATGCTCTCTTTCCTCATGTTTTCTCTTTGTTTCCTGCTCCTTCTCCTAAACCAGTCCCCAGTAGTTTAGATCCCTTGGTGATTCCATAGCACCCAGTAGCTTTGCTTTGTGGCAATTAGCACACTTACAGTCAATTAGTCAAATATATGATTTCTGTTTAATGTCAACCTTGTGCCTTTAGCCTTTAAAATCTCTGAGGCCACAGGTTTTCCATGTTGTCCACTATCTCTTCAGGGCTCAACTCAGCGCTTGAGCATATTAGGGCCGCTATAAATATACTTTCTTATCTTTTGTACATCTAGCTTGTTCCTGTTTTTCACCACTACAAGCAGTTCTACAATGAACTTTCATGTAGCTAAATCTTTGACACATCTTTAATCATGTGCTTAAAAAAATCCCTAGAAATAAAATCATTGGTTTTATAATGAGATGCAGATTTTCAAGGCTTTTTGCTAAGGGTGATAGTCTGAAAAATAGCCATCATTAACTTCTCCTCGCCCTGTACAAGCATGCCACTCATCCGTCAATAAGTGGTGTCTCTAGAGAACAGACTTATGGTTGCCAAGGGCGGGGAAGGGTGAGGAGGGAATGGAGAGGGAGGCTGGGGTTAGCAGATGCAAGCAGTTACATACAGAATGGATAATCAACAAGATCCTACAGGATGGCATGAGGATCTGTATTCAATGTCATGTAATAAGCCATCATGGAAAAGAATATAAAAAAGAGCATATGTATGTGTGTAACTGAATCATTTTACCCTACAGCAGAAATTAATACAACATTGTAGATCAACTCTACTTCAATAATAAATAAAAGTTAAAAAAAAAGTGATGTCTCAGGACTTCCCTCATCATCCAGTGGTTAAGAAACTGCCTTGCAATGTAGGGGATGTGGGTTCAGTCCCTGGTCAGGGAACTAAGATCCCATAAGCCTCAAAGCAGTCAAGCTTGTGCTGCAACTCCTGAAACCTGCTTGCTCTGGAGCCTATGTGCCACAACGAGACAGCCCATGCTGCAATGAAAGATCCCACATGATGCAACTAAGATCACACACACACACAGAAAAATGACATCTCCTTTCCTTATCCTTGAGTGACTTACTTTGACCTTCAGAATGTGGTGAAAACACAATTGCCAGGTAAAATACAAGATACTCAGTAAAATTAGACTGTCAAATAAACAGAAAAGTGGGACATACTTATACTAAAATATTATTTGTGATTTATCTGACATTCAAGTTTAACTGGGTATTCTGTACCTTTTTATTGTTGTGTAGCTGATGTATAAAATATTATCTTCATGTGTACAGCATGATGACTCAATATTTTTGCAGATTATGCTCAGTTGTAAGTTATTACAAGATGATGGCTATAATTCCCTGTGCTATACAATATATTCTTGTTGCTTATCTATTTTATGCACAGTAGTTTGTATATGTTAATCCCATATTCCTCATGTGTCTCTCCTCTCTCTCCCTCCCCACTTTGGTAACCACAAGTTGGTTTTCTGTATCTGTTTGTGTTTCTGTTTTGCACATACATTAATTTGTATTATTTCTTAGATTCCACAGATAAGTGATATCCTATAGTGTTTATCTTTCCCTGTCTGATTTATTTCACTAACATAACATATTCTCTAGGTCCAGCCACATTGCTACAAATGGCAGAAGTTCATTCTTCTTATGACTAAGTAAATCTTCTTAATCCATTTGTCTGTTGATGGACACCTGGGTTGCATCCATGTCCTGGCTGCTATAAATAGTGTTGCAATGAACATTGGGGTGCATGTATATTTTTGAATTAGTATTTTCATTTATTTGAAATATATACTCAAGAGTAGAATTGCTGGGTCATATGGGAGTCCTATTTTGGAGTTTTTGAGGATGCTCCATACTGTTTTCCACAGTAGCTGCACCAATGTACTTTTCCACCAATAGTTTACAAAGGTTCCCGTTTCCCATTTCCTTACTAATATGTTATTTGTAGACTTTTTGATGATAGCCATTCTGACAGGTGTAAAGTTATATCCCATTGTGATTTGCGTTTAAGAATCAGTGATGTTGAGCATCTTTTCATGAGGCATTCTGTATTTTTATTTGCTAAATATGGAAACACTAGGTATGAAGACACTATTGCTATTCCAGGCCTAGCCTTTTTTAAAAATTATCTTTTAATTGGAGGAAAATTGCCTTACAATGTGGTGTTGGTTTTTGCTATACAACAACGCGAATCAGCAGACCTAGCCTTTGAGAGACATAGCAGTTTCTACTATTGTTCTCTAGAAACCAGCTAGCATTCTGTAAAGAGCTTTGCCCTAGACTCCTGAATGAAGAGAGGTCAGCTAGAGAAGCCAGGGGCATAAGTCACTTGATATATTTCAGCCCTAGCAAAGCTCCCAGGCCCAAAGCTGGGTGGGGGTGGGGTATAGAGGATTTCTTATCTTATGTCCAGGTAGATTTCAGAATTGCTGTAAACCTGTTCTCTGTGTTGTTGAATAGGAGCATCATGGTGACTTTCCTGTCCACTTCTCACCACGGAATGCCTGGTAGGGGTGGAAGAGTGGAGGCAAGTTGGGAAAGTTCACAGTTCACAGCTTTCTAGGCCCAGAGGAGCTGCAGTCACATCTGAGCATGATTCAGGTCATGAAATATTGAACTTCCAAAAAATTCAATTCCAAAGTGGGTGTTTATTTTATTATTTAAAACATTTTTTTAAACTTTTAATTTTATACTGGAATATAGTTGATTAAGGGGCTTCGCAGGTGGTTCAGTGGTAAAGAATCTGCCTGGCAAGCAGGAGACACAGGTTTGATCCATTAGGTAGGGAAGATTCCCTGGAGAAGGAAATAGAAACCCACTCCAGTATTCTTGCCTGGGAAATCCCACGGACAGAGGGACCTGGCAGTCTACACAAAGAGTTGGATACAACTTAGCGACTAAACAACAACAATAGTTGATTAATACTGTTGTGTTAACTTTAGGTGTACAGCAAAATGATTCAGATATACAGATACACCTATCTATTCTTTTTCAAATTCTTTTTTCCCATTTAGATTGTTACAGAATATTGAGCAGAATTCCCTGGGCTGTATAATAGGTTTTTGTTAGTTAGAAATATTGAACCTTGAGGCTGATGCTTTCTTGGAATGAGACTTTGAGATATCTTAGGAGGTGGTCTGTTTTGTTTTGTTTTGTTTTTTTGCATGAGAAAGAATATAAATAATTTGTGGCCAGAGGGAAGGCTCTGTTGGATTAAATATGGTCACAAATTCTTGGTCACTCTTCAGATCAAGAGGTAAAATTTGTTTCTTCTTCCACAGGGACTCTGGGCTGGATTTGTGACTCGCTTGAAGAAACAGAATGTGATGGATGTGAATCTGTGTGACTTTCAGCTTTTTGAAAAATAATTAAAAGTCCTGATTTAGAGCATTTGCCAATTTCTAAGAATCTGCCTGAAATGCAGAAGACACAGGAGATGTAGGTTTGATCCCTAGGTCAGGAAGATCCCCTGTATAGGAAATGGCAACACACTCCAGTATGCCTGCCTGAAAAATCCTGTGGACAAAGGAGCCTGGTGGGCTATGGTCCGAAGGGTTGCAAAGATTTGGACACAACTGAATAACTGAGCACGTGGTATAAGTACTGCCAGCATGACTGATTTCGAGCTACCAATGTGATACCACAGAGCATGTAGTTGGAAAGAGACAGGCATAAATGACCAATGGGCTCCAGCATAGCATCGCTTCCAGACTTACTCCTTAGGAGATCTGTCAGCTTCCATTTTTGCTTTCTTGGAATCCAGCTGACATGAAGGATCCTTGGGCTAGGCTCTTGAATGATGAGAGGCCAAATGGAAAGAAAGGCCATGTGGAGAAGAAAAGAAGCCTTAGGCGATCCATCCCTGGCTGGGCTCCCAGCTAAATGCAGCTGCATGCGTGGCCTCAGCCAACATTCCATGACATGTAAGACCATGCAGCCAACTCACGGAAATGTGAGACACAATACATTGTTGTAGACTTAAGCCACTACATTTTGGAATATTTTAATTAGTCAGCAATAGGTAACTGAACACATGTATTGCCAAGCCATTGTAAAACAATTTTTTACATTTTACTCCTATGTTAGCAATGTGGTTCAGCTGGTAAAGAATCCATCTCCAATGTGGGAGACCTGGGATCAATCCCTGGATTGGGAAGATCCCCTGGAGAAGGGAAAAACTACCCACTCCAATATTTTGGCCTGGAGAATTCCATGGACTGTATAGTCCGTGGGGTCTCACAGAGTCGGACATGCCTAAGCAACTTTCATTTTCACTAGCAATGTACAAGAGTGCCTTGTTCTTTGCACATCAACCTGTACTTTGCATTATCATCACCAGGCTGATACATTAAAAAATGTACTTTGAAAAAAAAAATGTACTTTGCAGTTTAGCTTGTATTCTTTGAAAATGAATTTGAACAGTTTTTCAGATGCTTATTGGCCATAAATTGGCTGTGCTCTCTGTCCATTTTTATGTTGATTTGTAAGGGCTCTTTCTATTTTAATAGGGCTTCTCAGGTGCCTCAATGGTGAATTATCTGCCTGCAGTGTGGAAGACACAGGTTTGATACCTGGGTCAGGAATATCCCCTGGAGAAGGAAATGGCAACCCACTGTAGTATTGTTGCCTGGGAAAGCCCAAGGGCAGAGCAGCCTGGCAGGCTACAGCCCGTGGGATCACAAAAGAATCAGACATGACTTAGCGAGTAAACAAAAACAATATAGTTGGCTGACAATTTCATGTATAGTGAAAACAAATGGACGATATTTTGCAATGTATGTGGCTACCTGGTTTGCTTGTATGCTCTTTGCAGTAAAAAGCTTAAACTATGTGTATGAAAAAATGATGCCTATGGCAATTTTCTGCAAGTTTCTTATAACATGATCATTTTCAGTTTTGGCTTATTTGTTTTTTTTTAGTATTTCTCACTGTATTCTAATATTTCCCCTGGATGTCTTATTAGTGATTGTATTCAAATGAAATCTTCTGCTGAAACCTAGTACAAAATACACTCTCTCCATTCCACTTCTCATTCCAATTTAAACAACACTAGCTTAGGCCACTGCAGTAGGTTAATTTTTCAGCCATCCTTGTATTAAACACTATGGAAAACCTTTGCATAAACAGCGTGCCAATTTTAATGTCACAAATTTGAAAGTGTGATTTTAAAATGTTATCAGTTTGCACAAATTTTGAATAGTATGAATCTTTCAAAACTAAAAAATATTTTAAATTGTGCTGGATTCTGGAACAAAAATAGGAGCATAATGGGAAAATTAATGAAATCTGAGTAAAATCTTAAATTCAGTGAATAGCACCCATGTTAGATTCTTAGTTCTGACAAATGTACTACAGTAATGTTAGGTGTAAATGATAGGGAAAACTGGGAAAGGGGTATAAGGAAACTCTATACTATCTTTGCAAAACTTTTCTATAAATCTAAAATTATTTCCAAAGAAAAAGTCTAGTTTTGAAAAAAAAAACACTAAAAATTTACTCTAAGAAATGCTCTGTAATGTTGTAGGATTATTTATTATTATTATTATTATTATGAGAATACTATTTCTTACATTATATTGTTCTTTAGGGGGAATAATCTATCTAGAATTATGCAAGTTTTGAATTATGTGATCTTTTTAAGATCTTTATCCCATGGATATAGTTCACTGCCATATAAACTGTATAGTTAAATCCTATTTTGAAAATTGAAATAGGAAAAATTAAAGATGTAAGCCTTCAATTTTTAAGCTAATAGAACTTTCTTCTCCCAATTAAGAGTCAAAAAACAGAACTAAAACTCTCTCTCTTCCAGTTTCTGACATTAGGATTGTGGCAGCAAAACCTTATCATTCTACGTGATCTCTGGACAAGCGTGTGATTAAAGACATGACTTTAAGTGTGGAATCTGGAAGCTAGGTCATCAGGTAAGGCTTGATCTATACTCTGAGACAGAAATGTAAGCATGGAAAACCAGACCTTTCAGGCACAATTTTTATTAGAAGTTTGTTTTTTGTCCAGGCAATTGGTAGGGTTTCCCACCTCCTCCCTCCCACATTTCTCTGTTCTCTCCCATCACAGCAAGTGTCTTGGGAGTGGGGTGTTTTAGTTCGTCATCACTTCACATTCCTTTTTAGGTTTCTTTGCAGATTAAAAAAAAATTACCTTTTTCTAGATTTCACAGTTGTAAAAGAAATTCCAACAATTTAACTTCTAGATGTTGCAGGATTTACATTTCCTACTGTTTTCCTCTATATTTTAAGTATGTCCCTTGAAATCCTTTGATACACTCCCCTGTGCCTCATTTCTTATAATACCCTCTCTCTGATACTGAATGGCTTTTGGATAAACAGTGTGTTTATATTTCACACTGATATGAATTAGCAAATTTGAAACAGTGAGCAGTGAGAAATATTATTAAGGTCTCACTTTATGCATATACATGGAAATAATTTGAATTCCCCTCACTAAGAATTGTTGATTGTGCATTAAACAGTAAGTTGGATATAAGAAATGCATTTCATTTGCCTAGGTTTACATGCCCTCAGACTATTATTTCCCTCATTACATTTATTCTTAAGGGAAAAATCTATCTTGATGTCTTACGCATGTTTTGAGTTACGTGAGGTTTTCAGGAGTTGCTCCCAGAGTGACTCTCCAGGGACTTAGATGATCCAGCTCCTCTGCTGTGAATCTGTTTATTATTTTTGCTGATTGTTAATGATAGAAGTTACTGATTGCTTAATCCTGTACTAGGGTCTATGTTGATTATCTGTGTGCTCCACAACGTGTATTACTCCGTTATCTAAGAAGCAGATATCATTATATCATCTCCATTTTGTAAATGAAAATTTTCATGCTTGGAAAATTTACGTAACTTGCCTTAAGGGAATATCTGTGGATTCCAAAAGTCTGGAATAAGATTTCTTCATCCATGCCAAGATTTTTGCTAACCAATTTAGTATGAACTATTTGCCACACTTCGCTCTGTTATTTTAGTCCTGTAGAAAGGTAAGTAGATTTTGTTTCTTTGATCATGGTCATTCAACTTTTTAAAACATTAAGTAATTTATTCATTTCTGGCTGCACTGGGTCTTCATTGCTGTGGGCGGGCTTTCTCTAGTTGCGGTGTTCAGGCTTCTCATTGCAGTGGCTTCTCTTGTGGCGCATGGACTCTAGGCATGCAGGCTTCCGCAGTTGTGGTACGCAGGCTCAGTAGTTGTGCACAGCCTTAGCTGCCTCTTGGCATGTGTAATCCTCCCTGGCCAAGGATTGAACCAGTGTCCCCTGCATTGCCAGGAGGATTCTTATCCACTGCACCACCTGGGAAGTCCAATAAATTTTTTTTTATTCAATTTTTTTTTTTTTGCTACAAAAATATGTGGAATTTTAGTTCCCCAAACCGGGATCGAGCCAGTGCCCACTGCATTAGAAGAATGGAGTCCTAACAACTGGACCACCAGAGAAGTCGCTGAAATTTTTTAAATGACTCTTTCCTAATCCCAGAAGGAGCATTGTGCTCCCAAGTTCTTGAAGATTATTATAAGTAGCAGTTATAGACATACGAAGTATAAGACATATAAAATGACTTGTTCTGTTTTTGTAGAAAGAGGCAACCACAAATCACTGCTATTTTTCAAAATTATTTTGCAAGTTTTGTGTTTCAAAATGAAACCTACATTTATTGCCTTTAGATAAGAGTTATGTTAAGGAAAGGGCTTCCCTGGCGGCTCAGACGGTAAAGAATCTGCCTGCAATGTGGGAGACCTGGGTTCGGTCCCCGGGTTGGGAAGATACCCTGGAGGAGGGCATGACAACCCACTCCAGTATTCCTGCCTGAAGAATCCCCATGGACAGCGGAGCCTGGCGGGCTACAGTCCATGGGGTTGCAAAGAGTCAGACACGACTGAGTGACTAAGCACAACACATATTAAGAAAGAGCAAATAAAATTTTGGATGGGAAGAACTATCATTCTTATGCAGAAAATGTTAGGTATCTGTATCTTTTCCTGTGGTTCAAAGTGTGGTGAAAATCTTCAAAAAGGGCAGGTACCTAAGTGGGTGTGGGTAGCACCTGCTACACTAGAAGAATTAAGGTGTATGTTCTCATTACTATGACTGTTATCTGGACCAGGTGACTCCATGCCTGTTGGTCAGGACACTGCCCCCAACACAGCATTTTATGGGCTCAGGAATTATTCCTGATCTATATTGCTGTTCTTCCTGACGTTGCTCCAGCCTTTCCACCATTGTTCTTTCTCTTTTTAAAATATTTTTATTGAAGTATAGTTGATTTACAGTGCTGTGTTAATTTCTGCCATACAGAAAAGTGATTCAGCTATACATATACATACTTTTTAAAATATTCTTTTCCATGATGGTTTATCTCAGGATATTGAATATAGTTTCCTGTGCTATGCAATAGGACTGTGTTTTTCATCTACCCTACATATAATAATTTACATCTGCAGTCTCAAACTGCCAATCCTTCTCTCCCCTCCCCACCCTCCTTAGCAACCACAAGTCTGCTGTCTATGTCTGTGAGTCTGCTTCTGTGTCATTGATAGGTTTATCTGTGCCATATTTTAGATTCCATATATATGTGATGTCATAAGGTATTTGTCTTTCTCGTTCTGATTTATTTCACTTAGTATCACAATCTCTAGTTGTATCCAAGTTGCTGGAAATGGCATTTTCATTCTTCTTTATGGCCAAATAGTATTCCATTACATATATGTACCACACCTTCTTTATCCATTCTTCTGTTGATGGACATTTAGGTTGTTTCCATGTCTTGAATATTACGAACAGTGCTGCAATGAACATAGAGGTGTGTCTGTATCTTTTAATTATAGTTTTGTCTGGCTATATGCTCAGGAGTGGGATTGCAAGATCACATGATAATTCTATTTTTAGTTTTATGAGGAACCTCCATACTGTTTCCCATAGCAACTGCACCAACCTCTATTCCTGCCAACAGTGTAGGAGGGTTTTCTTTTCACCACACCCTCTCCAGCATTTGTCATTTGTAAACTTTTTAATGTTATGTAAACATTCTGACCCATGTGGGGTGATAACATTGCAACTTTGATTTGTACTTCTCTGATAATTAGAAACATCAAGAATCTTTTAATATGCCTATTGACCATCTCTATGTCTTCTTTGGAGAAACATCTATGTAAGTCTTCTGC